CAGGGTGAGGAGGCCAGATGTTGGGGCTGAGGCAGGGAAGGAGCGTTGCCAAGGAGTTGGCAAGGCCTCAACCTTGCCTTGCTAGTGGAGGAAGAGGAGGCTGGAGAAGCCCCCTGGCCCACCGTCTACCCTTGCCTCCATCATGACAGCTGGGCTGGGCCCTAGGAGGTGGGACTCCAGGGGTTCTCCTTCCACAGAGCTGGGTGCAGCTCAGGGGTCCAAGTGCCCTATCTACAAACTTGTGTGGCACACATAAGACTCTGGGTATCTGAATTTGGGGGGTCACCATACCTCTGTATCCCATTTCCCACTCCAGGCCACTCGAGGTTGTGGGCTGGTGAGGGCCAGGATTCCTAGCCAAAGGTACATGTTGGGGCCTTGGATCTCGGACTAGAAATTCCACTTTGTCTGCCAGCTGCCTGGGCAGGGCTTCTTCCTTCTGGGCCCAGCAGGTGTGACTGGGTGGGTAGGGCTGAGTCCTGGGGTGCAGGATGCAAAGGAAGAGGGAGAGAGAAACAGGGTGGAGAGACCCTGGGAAGAGTCCAGGAAGCGGGGAATGTTCTGAGAGATGCTATCGGTCCTGTTAGGGAAGGCCCTTGGGGAAGTGACTCTGGACACTGGTAGGACAGAGGGACAAAGAGACTCACATTTACTGAGCAGGGGTGATGTGACCTGAGATCTGGAAGAACAAATTCACTCTGGAAGCTCCAGGACAGAGAGATTATTGTATTCATTTTTCTCTGTCTTTCTTCCTTTCCCCCTTTTCTTTCTTTCTTTCTTTCTTTCTTTCTTTCTTTCTTTCTTTCTTTCTTTCTTTCTTTCTTTCTTTCTTTCTTTCTCTCTCTCTCTCTCTCTCTCTCTCTCTCTCTCTCTCTCTCTCTCTCTCGCTGGAACTTGCCGTGTAGACCAGGCTGGTCTTGAACTTGCCTCTGCATTCTGAGTGCTCCACCATGCCCAGCTGTATTTGTTTTTCTACAGAGGGGAATCCTGAGATTCAGAGAGGCCAAGACACCTCCCAGAGTCACACAGCAGGCGCCTGGCACAGCCAGGATTCCAGCCTGTGTCTGAGGGACTCTAAAGTCCAGGTTGAGCACACCCCCGAGACAGGCAGCCAGATCCTTTCCACTGGCCGCCGTTCCTCCTCATGGCACAGATCGGAAGGTATCTGGGAACAGGCAGGACTGGGAGAAATCCACCCGCCTTTTGTTCCTTTGGCCCTCAAGAATCCTGACCGATAGCAGGCATATGCCTGTAAATCCCAGCACGTGGGAAGTAGAGGGAGACCTGTTTAATGAAGTCTGGGACCCTGCCTCAAAAACAAACAAACAAACAACATCAACAACAACAAAGCCCAACTGAAGAGAGTCACCCAGAAGGAAAAGAGTAATTCATCCACAAGCTCTGCTTTGACTGGAAAGGAAGGTGGCTAAATCACGTGATCTAACAAGAAAACCCTTTATGTACCCTGGCCATCTCTCTCCTCTGACGCTCCCAGCCGTGGCCTGGTAGGAAGGAGTTCTGTAAATAATTGACCGAGGCATTCGGGGAAGGGAACCAAACCGTGCAGGCTCCTGCCATGGCAGGCAAGCGGTTCCCCTGCCAGACTCAGTAGCTCCAGCCACCCAGCACCATCACCCCCTGCTGCTGGGGTCATAGCCAAGTTCCAGGCTGCTGCACAGGCGGCAGGAGGTGAAGAAGGCTTTCTGAGGCTGCCCTGGCTCAGCCCTGTCACATCAGGCCACAGAGATGAGTCATGCCAAGCCCTGTCCCCACGGTACCCACAGTCTGCAGAGGGAGAGTTAAGCTTGTGCTCGTGGGCTGAGTGTGGTCTGGGCCTTGTCATCGGCGTGTGGTTCTCAAGAAGGAGCCTGAATTCCCAGGGGTCTTGAAGGCTGTGGTGACTGAGTCAGAAAGACATCTCAAGCTGGAGGAGCAGTCTGGGCGAGGGCCTGGAAGAGGAACGTGTGGGGGCTCAGGTCGTCAGGCTTGGTGGCAAGCGTCTTTCCATGCTGAGGCATCTCGCCGGCTCCAGGGCTTGAGTGCTGGGAGGTTCTGCCGGGTGCTGTAGGTCAGGCGAGATGGGGAAGCGGTAGAACAGGTCTAGATGGTCCTGGGGCCGGCAGGACCAGAGGAGGAGGGCCAGAAGGCAAGAGGCGGGTAGGGTACCGTGTGTGGGCAAGAACAGCCTCGGGCCAGCACCAGAACTGTGTCCCCTCCCCAGGAAGGTCACTTGTGGTTACTCCGCAGAAGAAGAGGAGCTGGGAACTGGACCGAGATCTTTTGTTTTTTAATTAGTTTTTCAACTTTTGCTGTATCTTACTTCTGCAATGCGTTCTTACCCCATTGCTCTCCCCCTTCCTCCTTGAATGGAGGCCGTTTGAGATGCCATGAAAGGGTCAGACTTTCAAAACCGTGTCTCCCACAGCCAGCCAGCCACGTCTGGTGCTCTCAATGTCCACTTTGTCCCACAGAACCAAGGAGAGCATGTACCACTCGCTGACCTACGCCACCATCCTGGAGATGCAGGCCATGATGACCTTCGACCCCCAGGACATCCTGCTTGCCGGCACCATGATGAAGGAAGCACAGTCCCTGTGTCAGAGGTGGGAGCCGTAGGGACAGGGAGAGGGTCGTGAGGCCCACCCTTCTGTCTCCTTCCTAACCAAGTGCCCGGGGTGCCCGCTAAGGGCTGCTGCTTCTGGCTAGGAGGTCCCGTGTCCTCCGGTGTGAGAGCTGTCTCTGTAGCAGGGCTGTGGAGCCTTGTCTGAGCCGATCACTGGGGGGAAAATGGATTCTGTCTCTGCCGCTTTTTAACTCTGTCTTGGGCAGGCCCCTCTCGGTTCTCAACTTTCTTCATTTTTAAAAGAGGTGTGGGTGACGATGAGGAGTTACGGCGTTGCCCTGGGGACCCTGTGGCAGGGCCTGGTGTGTGCTTGAGTGAGTTTAGTCCATGGTCCGTGAATACCACTGGGCATACACCCACATCTACTCTGGCCCAGGCCCTGGGGATCCAGGAAACCATTAGGCCTGGACTAGGGGTTGGGATTATGACTCAGTTGGCAGAGCACTTGCTTAGCATATGGGGTGCTCTGGGTTTGAACCCCAGCCCAGTGGAGAAGGGAGGAAGGATTCCAGGAAGCCAGCCCTGGATTGGGAGAGCTGTGGACCTGAGTCTGGAGACGCCTGTGGGAGGTGCCTACAAACCTTCAACTATTAGAAAGTGTAGCACAGGATGTGTATAACAAAGACAAGTGTGGCCCAGGCTGGTCCCTCTTTCAGCCTCATGGAGCCATCAGGGACCCCTTTCCTTCTCCAGGTACCGGAAGAAGTTGTCTATGTCAGACTCTTTGAGCAACCTGGTACACCGTCCCACCCTGGACCAGTTCACGGAAGGTAAGGCGTTCCAGGTGTCCTTTCAAGCGTGGGCTCTGGTGGCCCAGAGAGGGGAGGCGGGTGTGGAGGGGAGAATGGAGGGAAGGGGAAGGGAGGGGAGAATGGACAGGAGGGGAGTGTGGAGGGGAGGGAAAGGGAGGGTGGAGGGAGGAGAGAAAAGTTACCTATTCTGGTGTCCCCAGGGGAGCTGTGCTATGGCCTGATGCCAGGACACAGGTGGCCCTGGCCTGGGGCCTTTGAAGAAGCCCGGCCACCCAACAGCATGATCAGCTAAGCCCCTGGAACCCTGAAAACTGTGGCTTTGCTCCCCAGGTCCAGGGCTGTGTAGAAAGCACCCTAGGGACTTCATGTGCCCCAGAGGGAATGTGGCTTTACCTGAGCCTCCTGCCTGGGACCTTAGGCTTTTTTTTTTTTTTCCCCTGCAGAGGAAATCCATGCAGAGGTCTGTTACGCAGAGTGCCTGCTGCAGAGAGCGGCCCTGACCTTCCTTCAGGTAAGGAAGCTCCCCTCACCCCAGCCTACCCCACACTTGTGCAAAGAGCCTTAGAATTCTGGGTCAGCCCAGGCATGGCTTGCCCCCTGAGAAGTGGCAAAGCCTGAGGCTCAGAGTCCCAACCCTGGCCAAGCTGGGTGAGGGGGGTAGGTGTCTCTCAGTCCTTTCTGTCACTCCTGCTCCTGTTCAGTCACGTGCACACAGGCATTGCCACAGATCTGCTCTGCTTGGTTTAGATCTACAAGCAAGCGCTTGCAGCAAATAATATAGCGGGCTATGCAGCTCTATAGATCTGCCATCTTGCATGTGCCTGTGATGTGTGTGCGTGTGTGTTTGTGTGTGTGTGTGTGTGTGTGTGTGTGTGTGTGTGTGTGTGTGGTGTGGTGTGTGTGTGGAGAGCAGAGGTTGATGTCAGGAGGTTGTGTTTTCCTCTTACTTTCCACCCTTTTTCATATTTATTTAGTGCATGTGTGTGTGTGTGTGTGTGTGTGTGTGTGTGTGTGTATGTATGAGTGTGTGTGTGTGTCTGTGCCAGTGTGCCTGTGATGGCGAGGGGGAAGGTATGCTATAGTTGTGTGGAGGCCAAAGGAGATCTTTTTGGGAATTGGATCTCTCCTTCTACTTTGTTTTTGAGGCAGAGGCCCTGGTTATTTCTGCTGCTGAGCTGTGTGCGCCGGGCTAGCTGGCCTCAAAGCTTCCAGATGATTCTCCTGTCTCTGCCTCCGTCCTCTGGGAGGGATTACAGATGCACTCCACTCATCTGGCTTTGAACATGGGTTCCAGGATCAAATTCTGTCCTTAGGCTTACGTGGCAAGCACTTGGCTGTGGGGTGCAAGTGTCTCCTGAGTCCCTGGATATCACAGCACTTGGGAGGCAGAGGCAGCTGGATATGCCATGTTTGCATACTCCCACAACACGAGGTCCTGTCTGATGTGTTTACACTTGTTACTTAACCCCTCACAGGACAGCAAAGCAGAGGACTCCTCTCCCTAAGGTCACAGGATTAGCAAATAGTGAACTGGGATTTGGATTTGGTTCTGGCCAAGTCAGAGATGGGTCTCCCTACCACAGTGGGAATTACGCACACCATCACTGCACAGTTTTACTAGAACTCCTTGGCTAGCACGTGTGTGTGTGTGTGTGTGTGTGTGTGTGTGTGTGTGTGTGTGTGTGTAGGGTAAATGCATTGTAGTGTTGGGTGCTATTTGTTTTCTTTAGCTTGTTTTTTGTTTTTTTTAGACAGGGTCTCATTATGCAGCTCTAACTGATCTGGAACTCACTATGTAGACCAAACCGGCCTTGAACTCACAGCAATCCAGCTGCCTCTGCCTCCCAAGTGCTGTGATGGAAGGCATGTACTACCTGGCTTCTTTAGCTCTTTTTAATTTTAAAAAATATTATTATTGTATTTTATGTGTGTAGGTGTTTTGCCTGCATGCATGTCTGTGTACTAAATGCATGCCTGGTGCCCTCAGAGGCCAGAAGGCATTTGGATTCTCTGGAAGTGAAGTTACAGACAGTTGTGAACCCCCAAGTGGATGCTGGGAATTGAAACTTAGGCTCTCTGGAAGAACAGCCAATGAGCCATTTATCAGTCCATATACTATTACTTGTATGTACTTTTTTCTTTTTCGAGACAGGGTTTCTCTGTGTAGCCTTGGCTGTTCTGGAACTTGCTCTGTAGACCAAGCTGGCCTCAAACTCAGAGATCCACTGGCTTCTGCCTCTCGAGTGCTGGGATTAAAGGTGTGGGCCACCACTGCCTGGCTAACTCTTTTTTTTCTTTTTAATTATAATTTAGTTACAACATTTTCCCCTTCCCTTTCTTCTAAACCCTCTCACATACCCCTCTCCTTCAAACTCATGACCTCTTTTTTCACTAATTGTTGTCATATGCAATATATGTATGTATATACAATATATACGTAAATACATATATTCCTAAATATAACTTGTTTGGTCTGTATAATGTTGCTTGCATCTATGTTTCCAGGGCTGACAGTTGGGCACTGGACAACCATTTGGGGTGCTCTTCCCTGGAGAAGACCGCCCCTCCCATTTCCAGCTTTCCTCAGTTGCCTGTAGTTTTCTGTGTAGAGCTGAGCTTCATGGCCTTTCCCTGTTTGCTTTGGTATGCCCATTAGTGGCATCCTTGGTCAGCTCACTGTTGGGTAGTCACGTTGGTGAGACCTTTTGGGCGTGGCCTCAGACATGCCCGGAGACGCAAGCTCCCAGCAGACTCCCTGATCCTCAGTCTCTTACAGTCTCCGCCCCTCTTTGCAATGCTCCCTTTGGAGTGCTCCTCCAATACTCACGACTTCCCTGGCACTAGCAGTTGGCTAGGTTTCCACCAATAGCCACAGTTTCCCTCTTCCTGAGGGGGTCTGAAATCAATTAGAGAGCCATTGGTTACCCCCAAGGTATGCATGCCACCAGTGCGCCCTTAGGATGATCACGCCATGCCATGTCTTTGATGTAGTTCATAGATGTCATAGGCCGGAATCCTTAGTTTTTAAAATCTTTTGGCGCTCAGGTGATTGGAGCTGGACCAATCCTAATCCTCAGTGTGGGACTCACTGAAACAAGAATGGCATTTTATTTTGCTTGCTTTCTATTATATATTATATAGTATATATTACATAATCACACATACCCTGATTCTGCTGGAGGCCCAGAGCCTACACAGCAAGACTCACCCACACACACACACACTGTCCCAGCCTCCTTCCGGGGGGAAGCCATTACCTCCCTCATCACCCCGCATGTGTGTTTTCCATTTGTGTCTGAACAGCATATTGTTAAGCTTTGGTCGGTTCTGTGTCACAAAGGCTTCCAGTTGTGTAGGGCTGGGATTCTCCACCTGTCTTTGTGTGGCTGGATAATATTCTTATATGTGAACATGCCTCAGTTTACCTAGCTTCCATGGGTGAGCCTCGGTTGCTTTTGGTTCTTGGTTTCATGGACCCTGATGCTGAGGACATTCCTGACAAGGCTTTGCAGCCCATGTCCATTCTTTTTCTGAGTGGACGCCCAAGATTGGAGCACCAGACAGGCTGGGGATTGCTGGGACTTTAAATAACATATTACAGTAATCATCTTTAACATTCTAAAAATGAGCAGCCCTCTTCATCTCACATGGGCCTTCCACCTAGTGGGGGACACTGTTGACTCTCTCTCTCTCTCTCTCTCTCTCTGTGTGTGTGTGTGTGTGTGT